TTCCATATGCATCAGATCCCAAAACCACTTGCAGACCTTCTCTGGAAATTACATCAACCGATAACACGTATTTCCATTCTGTATTTCGACAAGCGCATTTTTAGTTCCGCTTCTTCGCACGTTTCAATCCTGACTGCCCTTCGCTCTCTCATTCTCCTCTGCATTTTTCCATTGCTAAATTCAATCGGCACTTGCTTCAGCAGCACCAAGAAAAAACAAACTTCTGCAGGACCGAGAAATATGTGTCATGGTATCTGTCCGAGCAGTGAATGCGCCATTAAGAGGAACAGGTGGTTTCAACCCGTCCCTATTAAAAAAAGAAAGACAGGCACGAGTTTCAGTTCATGCAACAGAAAGTACAATGGAATTCCCGTATGCAATTCACTGCATTTTGATGTTATAACACCAGCTCGGACTGCACTTCAGGATGCCATCGAACAAGGGAGTCGAGGAACAGCAGAGTTAAACTTTCAATCTTCAGCAAAACGGCAGTAACACTTGCAGCTACGCCGTACTCACAACCACAAAAAGTAAAGTAAAGCAACTTTTGAAAAAACGGGTTACGCTAATGATATATTAACAAAATCAAATAATTAGCCAATGCACCGAGTGCTGGTGCGAAGATGCGTTTTTTTGCACAACTCCCCGCAGGTTTTTTGTCGCTAACGGCACTGTTTTTTTTTTCGGCAGATAATTTTAACTAAAAGAACTGAGACTGGCCACCATGACTATCAGAAAAAATCCCCTTAAAATTTAAGCTTTCTAGATTTTGTGGCTTCCGAGTTACCAATTCACCCGCCAAACATTTTCACAGGCCCGTATGCGAGAACCACGTGGGCCACGATGTCCATTTTGGGGATAGGAGTCCGTAAATGCGTACGGGTTGTTTCCAAAATTTCAGTCTCGTATTTTTTGTAAGTCTTAAAATGAAAACTCGGCACAAAAGAACATGCAGATACACAGTCACACACACCCTCGACATTGTGCACTTTTGCATTGCCTAGAAGTAAAAAAGCGCATAAAAAAGGACAAAACTTACCAATATAATCCCATGGATAGTGCGGGCGGAAAAGTCGTGCAGACCATATGGAGTCCTGACGGCCATACATGAACACAGCAACCATTACACTGACAAAGCCTTTCCCAGGCGCGCAAAGCAACTGTGTTAATTCGCCACGACTTCGAGCTTCGGCATTTGTATAGAAATATTTCACCAAGGCATTTACTGCTTCGCCCAGC